TCTTTAATCTATCGTATTAATATTCACGTACCAAACTCAAACAACATACTCATTTTCTCTTTGTACGTTATCTCATATTATATGTATTATCAAGGTGTAAAATCTTATGTTATATATGATAGTATATGATTAGCATGACATTTTTGGATAAATATTCAACCACCAATGTAGAATCCGAGTACAACTCATCTTCAACCAGTCATGTATAAGTCAAAAGTAAAACTTCAATGTAATTAGAAACTTCAAATTATATGTAGGAGAATTGTAGTTTCGAACAAGATTTCAAGGGTCAAAAGATGAAAGAGAGAAAAATAATGTATGCTGAGCTATTATAAGGGTGAAACCACTTTCCATGGGTTTAAAGAATGATTGGCCATGCGCAGCACTCATGAGAGAGTATAGTATACCATAATTATTGTTGGGCGTCATCATTTATAAGCGTGACTAACCCAAAATTATCGCTTTATTTATGCCCATCATTCCTCTTTAGTTCACATCTTTACTCACATTAGTGGATTCATTCCGCTTTATGAATGTGCATTTTTTCCTTAATAATAAAGTTGAAAATAAGAAAATTATTATCTTCACTTATTTAGTTGTTGCGACTAGTACTTTTGTTGTCCATCTCTAGTGAAAGGATTCAAGTGTGATTTTTCTTTTCTATAATTCATTTAGATATTTATGTACGATTCAAGTTTAGACTCTTATCTTGATGATTAACTAGTGCATAGCCGTGCGATTTACGAGATAATACTGATAAATTGTATAAATTAAAGAAGAGAAGAACTATAGATTAGCACAAAATAATTTAGAATATTAATATTAATTTTTATCTTTTCTTTTCTTATTTTTATAAATTGTAATAATTTAATATATGATTTATGCATATATTTCACCCGTTACAAAATAGTTGTCATCATAGAGTATCAATATATAATTAAAAACATGAAAATTTAGCATACATCATCCATAAATTATACTCACAAAAATATCATCTATCTCTTCGCTTACTCATACCTTATTATGATTTATTATTTTGAGTCCTAAGCAAATGAAGATAAAGCTGAAAAATATGGTAAATATTATAGATGTATGTATTATTATATAATTATATAATTTACTAATTTTTAATTAGGTATTTGGCAAATTAGTTTATTATATAATATATATTGTAAATATTTTGAGTTTTCTCTCTAATCTAATTAGTACGAATCCCGTGCAATGCGTGGATAAAAGATATTCAATAATGTTTATAAATTAAAAATACTCATTAAATAATATTTATAAATTAAAAATATGGAATCAATATTGTAATACAATATATCTTTATTAATTTATTGAAAATGTTATACGAAATTTAAATTATGTAAAATTACATAAAACATGTCTACTTAAACGTAACTAATAATAAATTATATTATATTAATTTCAAAATAAGTGTCATTATTATTTTGATAAAATTTTATCATATATCTAAAAATCTATTTGAATAATGAGTATAATTATAAAACTTATATTGTTTCATTAATTGAAATAAATTTATTTTTGTATGAACTATCAAAATCAAAAAATTTAAAAAGTCGAGTAATTTATTAAACTATAAATAATTAACTATTACATTTACGTCCAAGTTAATAGTGACCATAAGTTATAAATCATTACTTATTTGACTTTTACATAATAAATTTCCTTATATTACGTGTTCAAGTGAAAATGGTGCTCAGTGAAAGAAATAAGAATACATCGTAGCCATTAGATTGGATGATCTAATTACTAAAAAAAATCTAGCATTTATTTATTCATTAAGGGTATTTTAGATATTGATCATTTTAATAATCAACTAGTGTGTACCCCGTGCGATGCATGTGACAGAGATATTAAATGAGTTATTTTAATAGACTCCGTCCATTTAAGTCTAAAAAGCAATTTCTAGCCAGAGCTAATCCCCGAGGACGGAATCAAAAAAGATGCCAATTTTACGAGTTAATCAGCGTTAAGTCTAAAAAGCAATGGGGTTATAATCAATGTTGTTTTTTCAGTCACAACCACCATTTTCGTGGTTGTGGATCGATTCTCTAAGATGGTGCATTTCATTCCTTGCAAGCGAACGACCGATGTTGTGCATGCGGCACAACTCTTTTTTCGTGAGATTTATCGTTTGCATGGTCTGTCTACCTCCATTGTGTCAGATCGTGATACGTGTTTTCACAGTTTCTTCTGCCGTAGTTTGTGGCACCAGGCGAACAACAGGCTTGACTTTGGCAGTGCCTACCATCCACAAACAGACGGCCAGACCGAGGTTGTTAATCGCTCTTTGGGTAACTTGTTTCATTGTGTGGTTGGGGATAATTTGCGTTCATGGGACATGCGGCTTAGTCAAGCTGAGTTTGAACATAACTCGGCAGTGAGTCGTGCTACTCAGTACAATCCATTCCAGGTTGTCTACGGTCTCGCGTGGCCCGGCTGATTTTATCTCCCTGCCTTCCTCCAGTCTTGAAGATCGACAGGCGGAGGACTTGATATCTGATTTGAGGAGCACGCACGAAGAGATTCGTGCAAATTTTGAGACCACTACTGCCGCCTACAAGCGAATGGCGGATGTTTGCCGTCGGCACGTGGAGTTTGCTGTGGGTGATTTCATGTGGGTTGTCTTGATGAAGGACCGCATTCCGACACATGAGTACAACAAGCTGTCGGACCAAAAGATTGGTCCTGTAGAGATCATTGAGAAGATTAACCCGAACGCCTACCGCCTTCGTTTACCGTCCCATGTGCGTACCTCGGATGTCTTTAATGTCAAGCACTTGGTGTCGTTTCGAGGTGACAATTCTGACGACGAGAGTGGATCAGATTCGAGGGCGAATCCTCGCGAACCGGGGGAGAATGATATCGACGGGAGTGCATTAGCGTTTCTCGACAGACATGATCGTATCCGGCAATTAGTTTGATTGTTATTCCATTTCTTCTTCTTCTTCTTCTTCTTCTTCTTCTTCTTCTTCTTCTTCTTCTTCNGCTTGTGAGACTTCGGTTTAGGGATTTTATGTCTTATTAAAAGGCACTTCTTTGATGTAATTGAGCAGTTATTGCAAACATTAAAATAAATCTGATCGTCTTTGAGAGTTTTCTCTCGTATCTCCATGCATACTCATCGTACGTTTCCTTCATCATGACTGCTCTCTCCCAGTCTTTGCTATGTCTTGTATTTTGCTGCCGTTGAGTCTTTGCAAGGAAATTGCCAATGTTTGTGCAGGTTTCTAGTGGAGAAAATGAGAGGATTTTTTAAAAAGGATTCACTGGAATTCTTGGGCCAAGCTTTCCCTTCCAAAATCTCATTGAGGCCTAGGATTTCAGGATGTTCAGCTTTTCGATGAAGCTCTAATTGCCAAGCAGCTTTAGAGACTCTTGACTCAGCCAACTCTGCTGGTAAGTAAAGTCCTTCAATCTAGATATTTCCCCACTTCCTCTCTGTTTGCTGCCCCAAAAGAAGGATAATGCATCCTGGCTTTGGCTTAGTTGGTTAAAGGTTATGAAAAACTTTGGAAAGTGGATGCTGTTTTAGTTGGTTAAAGGTTATGAAAAACTTTGGAAAGTGGATGCTGTTTGAGGTAAGAAGTGGAAGAGGTACTAGAACTTTTTATGATTTTTGGGTGCCTGATTTGAAAGGATGCAAATTGCAGTCCACCTCCGAAACTGACTTGAATTGAACTTGTGTTTATGAGTTGTTATCTATTAATGGCAAGTCTTGGAATTCACAGCTTCTGAGTCAAGTCTTCTCTGAGTAAGATTGTGCAGCAATTCAGAAAATCTCCACTCTTAACCCTGAGGCTGAGGAGAGATGGGTTTGGAGGCTTGATAAAAAGGGCAAATTCTATGTTGCCAATGCCTATTCTTCTCTTACTCACCAGAAACTCCTTAAACTGGACAGGGCTCAAAGTAGTGATGTCACTATCAGAGATCAAAAAGCCAGAAGCGGATTGTGAAAATTGAAGACCAAAGGTAAAATTAAACATTTTATGTGGAAATGTATTTCTGGTATCCTTCCTGTTGGAGTGAATCTGAAGAGGAAAGCTTAGACATTGATCATATATGCAAAGTCTATGGCCTTACTGAGAAAACTGTAGAACATGTTCTTTTTTTTGCCCAAAGCCTCTCTTGTTTGGAAATTAGCTCATGTGTCCTGGGAGGGCCCAAAAAGCCAGGATTCGTTGAAGGATTGGCGGAGGCACATTTCTGAGATGGATAAAAGGGTTATTTCTTAAGCTCGGATCCAACTCTCCACTTATATTTTATGCCTTTATGGTGGCTTTGGAAGTCCCAGAATTTGTAGATATTCAAAAGAGTTTACAGGTCAGCTCCTCTTATTGTTGATGCTGCTCTTAAAGACTAGGTTGAATTCAAGGAAGCTAACCGGCCTTCTCCTATGGAACGAAGATGACAAGGTTGAAGATGGTCTTGGATCTTGGATCAGTGGAAGTCTTCATCTTTGTTTATTTGTATTTTTTTTCTCTTATTTGGCTAGAGTGCCTTTAGTCTCAGTTGTTAGTTAACTACTTTAGACTCTCTTTCTTTCGTTGTTGTTCTAGGCCACCTGCGTATGGTTCTCTCTTTATTCAACTTTTCAGTTCTTGACCGTGTGTATTCAAACCTTGGATTGCTTTTTATATTGAGTTTTCTATCGTTCCGACAAAAACATAACTGAAAAGGTNGCTAATGCATTGAAATGAATTTGTAAATAAATGTAATTGAAAAATAATTGTTATATTCTTGGTAATAATTTTTTGATTAAGATCAATAGTAATTTTTTTCTTTTAGAAATAAATCTTGGCGCAACTTATTAAGCCCATCATGTAACATTGTATTTCCTATACAAGGCCTAACCATGGCCTAATTATTTAACATGGGCTTTTTCTTTCAAGAGCTCATTGTAATATTTATAGTATTTTTATTTTTGTATAAAAGTCCGCAGAGAATTTGCAAGAGCATATTTTAAATAGATTGGCCACAGATGGAGGTTGTCCCCCCATACATGTCCAAGCCATTCCTTTCTTTCAACCTACAAATTAAGTTCCTTGTCTGCAACATATTGGTATATAACTGCAATATAAAACCAATGTACAGATTCATTTAGGGTGTGAAAGAATTGGATAACATCAATTATTATTTTTTCGAGTTTGAAAGAAAAGCGTGAAAATTAAAATGTCAAATTACCCCTCAGATTCCGATGACTATGCGCCTACTTCTACAAGGAGATTCTTCGGAACTGATCAAAAGCCATTGCACGCCATTCTTGGAGGAGGCAAAGGTAATTTGAGCTAATTTCAATAGTCTTGTTTAAAAATTTCAATTATTGGTTCGACTTGTAAAACCTTTGCTTATGCGTATATATTAAATATATATATGCAGTTGCTGACATAATGTTATGGAGGAACCCAAAATTATCAGCTGCAATATTGATTGGGTCCACAGTCATATGGTCCTTATTCGAAGTTGGGGAATATAATTTTATCACACTAATCTGTCACATTTCAATAATTACTATGCTCATTTTATTCATATGGTCTTCTGGAGCTGGCCTCATTGACTGGTAACCAATACTATTACAACCTTTGTAATAATTACTCTTATCTGTTTTTTTTTTTTAAATAAAATAATTAAAGGAAAAAATAATACTACTAGAAAGAAATAATAACAATTTTTTTCTTTTAATTCTGTGTATTTATTGTCAGGAATCCACCTGATCTAAGAGCAATCACTATCCCAGAATCTACAGTCCGTTGGCTGCTAGCAGAAATCAATAAACTGTTATTGAAGTTCTATCAAATTTCATCCGGGAAAGATTTAAAGACCTTTTTCTTGGTAATTACTAATACAAAAATACAATTAAATGATTTAATTACTAATACAAAAATACAATGATTTAAAGACCTTTTTCTTGATATTTATTAAAAAATATCAAACTTTTTATTTATGTTATTTTTAAATTATATATACATGTCAATTGTGCATAAAAGTGTATATATTTTATTAAAAACATATAATTGTCTAAACACGTTGATTTCGAGGGTATAATTTAGTAGTTTACCTTTCATTTGTTAATTCCCTGGTTATATATAAATTAATATTACCTCCATTTGTTTTCAGGCAATAGCTTCCCTGTGGATACTGTCAGGGGTTGGAAACCTCTTTACCTCACTCAACCTGTTATACATTGGTATGCCGTATGCTCCACTTTATTTATTTTAAAATATAGTTTCTTGATAATAATTAAATTAAATATCAAATTAAAAGAAAAATTAATGTTAGCACTAGCTAGTAATTTGGTTAATATTCTGAGACCTTCTATATTTGGTTAATATTTTGTTTGTTGATAAAAATTGTGAAGGGTTTGTTGGGTTGATGAGTTTACCGGCGTTATACGAACGGTATCAGGATGAAGTGGATTACCTTGCCAACAAAGGCAACCGCGACATGAAGAAATTGTACAGGAAATTAGACAACAAGTTTCTTAACAAGATTCCAAGAGGCCCAACTAAAGAAAAGAAGAAATTCTGAGTCAAATAATTTAAATTTGGTTCAAATGTTCAATGTTAATTAGTGGCTCACTAATTTGTCTCATCGGAATAACATATATAGCTGTGAAGAAGTGTACACTTTATTTCAGAATATATTATTAATATATTATTTTAGTTTGCGATCACATATTNTTTTTCCAGAAATTGTGATACTTTTTTAATATTTGATAAATCTGATTCATCGAATTAAATATATAACTATACAAATATTGTCATATTCCAGCAAAAGAAATCTGAAGGAAATTAATATTTTTTTTGTTTGTAAATATAATATTGCGTGCCTCTAAATATGAATTTGGAATGATTTTCTCGAAAAGGAGATTCAAAAGAGTTGCAACTTGAACTCTTAAATCTCAAATTCTCTCTCAGCGACCAAAACAAAGCCCTCTCTCGCGTAAACTTAAATCTCAAATTCCTGCCTCCCTACTACCGCAACTCCCTCCTCCTTCCTCCAGCCATCCGGCGCCGAGGCCGGCAACTCGCCCCCTCTCCTTGTTCGTGCTCCGCGTGCCTTAGACGGCGTTGACGGGTCAGCCAATTTCAGATGCAGTGCGGGTGGAAGCCGAGCTCCGGCGGCTTTTGTGTTGCCGGCGTCCCCACTCTGTTCGTGCTCTATTTCTCAAGGGTTGGTCTTCACGGCGGGTTGCGATTGGTCTTTGAAGTGTGCGTGGGGCGAGTGACGTGGGTTGTGGCTCGGCGTTGATTGAAGCGGTCTCTTTGCATTTAAGGCCTTTACGAGGTTGAGGATCTCAGATTTGGATAGCCGTAGCGGATTTGAAGTGCAAAGTTTTTGGACTGGTATTCTAGGCTGAGGATGGGCTCTTCTATCTAGATTTCTTCGATTTGTTGGCTCGTGAGGTTGTAGTGTATATGTAGTTTGACGGTGGCCATGGAGGGATTTATTTTATTAATTAGGTGTGAGTTGTTTTTTTCTTGTGTTTTTTATTCGTTAAGTGCATCTTTGTCTCTGCTATACTTTGTTTTGGAGTTTTGCTTTGTGGTTGTTCGCCTCCTTGATAGAGTTTGTACCCCCTTGTGCGTGATGACAGGATGAGTTGGTTCATTCTTCTGATTCCAGTGTGTCATTTGACACTTCGGTTGTACTCTTTTGAGTTTTAAAGTTATTAATATAATTGTCGTTTGGAAAAAAAAAAAGAAAAAAAAAAAAACTCTTAAATATGAAATTGATAACAAAATTGAATGATATTTCTTAGGTTATAAGAAATGATATTGGGTATATTCACAATGAAATAAAAGTACAACTTGCACACTCACAACCATCCCATTTTTGGAGCTCTCTTGTACACGTAGTGTAACACCCCGCTTATCAGAGTAAATTTTTCGCAACTTTTACTTCGAAAATACTTAACTCTTTCGAAATCTTTTGCGACTAACTCGGGATGCTACTCAAACTCATCATCTTGAAAATCCGTTTATCTTTAAATTTTTGTCTAATACTTCTTTAGACATAAATAAAACAGATTTCCTTTAAACTTGCATTTAAAATACCATAATCATATTTCTCATAATGGTAAAAACTTGAAATCTGAAATTCATTAAAATGCAAGTTCAATACTTAATGTGCATAGCGGAAATACTTGAAAACGTGGTTAATTATACAGACTGTTATAAATGTCCGTATCAAAGCTTGTCTTCATCTGAGTCCACGATCCACACCAACACTGCTCCACTCACACCTCCTCTTCGACCTGTTACCTGAAACTAAAGCTCATGGGGGTGAGTAACGAATATGGATAATCATAAACCGATATCTGATCGGTAACCAGAAATCTGTTCTGGTACTGAAACTTAAACTGGCCGATATCTGATCGGATACGTGTATACACTCTGATGGATATTTCTAAGGCACCTAATGGCCTCCATCAGAACTTAGGATATAATCTCTGAGAACAAATTAATGCCTCCTCATCCTAAGCGTAAAACTTAAACTGTAGGATATACTCTGAGACAACTGATGGTCTCCTCATCCCATATGACATCATATCGTACTCAACATGATACCCATTCAGGGTCCCCACCTTTTTGTCTTTGAAATCATTTGAAAAAAACGATAAGTGTTGTACTGGTACTGTATCTGCAAATTACATCAAATATAAACAAATATACTAAGTACTATGCTCGTATACTCAATAAGAATTTTAGGATTATTAACTTATCCAAATCTTATAGAAATTCATTAAACTTGCTTTTTCTCAAGTTTATACTTAACTTTTCTTTTTACTTTTACTTAAGGTCAATTACTTAACCTTATAAATCATGTCTTCATAAACATCAATATGGTATTATACTTAGCATATCATAACTCAAATGTGAAAATAACTATATTTCACATTATACTTGATTGAGTATTTAAACTTAAAACATGCTTACTTTTACCAACATCATCAACATGATTTATAACTTATCTTAATTTAATTTGATCAAATACTTAATTCATCATACATCATATTTCCCAATCTTTAGATATTGGCTTATACTAAATTTTCACTTAATTAACTTGAAAGTGAAAATAATCTTAAGCCATAATCATCTTTTACTCATAACATTTAATCATGATGTTAATATGTCATACTTAATACAATCTTTATAAAATTGTATACTCAACATATTATACCAAAACTTCATCAAATTACTCATCACTTATATGAGAATTACTCATGATTATCTCATTTAATAACTTAAACATTTCATGAATATTCTTGCATATATATACTTATCTTTACATATATGCTTTCTTATATTCATAACTTATTCATTTCTCATCTTTAAATTATGAAACTTAACAGTCATATTCTTAACTCATATTTAGACATGTCATAAAAATTTCAAAATTTTATCATGCATATATCTCGACTTATTCAAGTTTAAAGTTGCTGCTGGAAACAAGTACATAAAATTCAGCTTGCATGATAAACTTTAAAAATTCATATCTTGAGTTATACTAAACTAAATGACTTGATTCTTGATCCTATGTACTCCTCTTTTACACAAGAAATAACCATAGAAAGCATAGATTTTCCAGATTTTTCATAGCTATGTAAAAATCTCATCATAACTGAACACATATGACATATATATGAGCTGGAAATAACTTATTTTCTAGCATGCTTATATTCATATAAAACTTTAATATCTATGTCATATAAAAACATTATTAAACACTTAATATCATCTACTAAACATGTAAACTCATTATCAAAACATGAACTTAAGCATGTAACTTTAAGATAAGTAAATTACCTCATTCTTGCTAGAATCGTAACTTAATTCTTCGTTTCTCCAAAGTTTCTACTACTCATTCTCTCTTACACTCTTATATAACTTTTGGTACTTAACTTTGGTGTGAGAACTCTGATTTTTAGGCCTCTATTTATAGACACAAATTGGCAAAACATCATAATGAAGTGAAGAAATGAACAAAATAAACAATTTAAACTTATAAACTTAATTAATCATAAACTATTTTATGATTAACTTGCATTCTTATCCAAACATAATTAATCATCAAAAATGGCCTTTAGTTATAGCCATGAGTGAGCTTTTTGGTAGATAAAACTTATTCCACCAAGTTTAATAAAATTCTCATCAATTGTTGAAAAAAAATGCTAACTTAAAGACTTAGCAAAACTTTGTTGATTTTCTCATCTTACTCTCACCAATTGATGCCCAAAATTTCGTGCTTAATGTGATGTAATTGATTCCATATATTATTGAAAAAATGTCACCATTCATTATATAAAAATCTTTGTAACAAAATAATAAAAATTATTTTTTTTTATTACTTATGCATTTTCTTTCAAAATGGTTGATTTTTAACACTCTTTTACTGAAAAGTAATGCTCATATATGGTCTTGGATCATGCTAATAAACCGAGAATAATACAATTTACGGAACTCAATTCGGACTTAAAACGAACGTTTACCGTAAAACTAAAAATTCTAAAATTTAAATTCTTTACTCACATTTTTTCTTCAATTTAATGAACATATTGCTTCTTCGGATCTAATATAATTATCTTGAAATATTCTAAATTTACGGAACCACATTCGGACTTAAACCGAACGATTACCGTAAAACCGAAAATTCTAAAAATTTCGATTTTTATTAAAATAATTTAAATAGACTATAATGTCTAAATAAATTTTCTCACTTCTTTGAACATTTATCACTTAAATGTTCATGGATACTTAACCATATTTCAAGACTTAACTTGTATCAACTTATGCTAAAACTCAATATTATGATCTTATCTTGATGACTTAAAGACTTAGAAAAATTCTAAGTATTTAGTATTAAGGCTCGGCTATTTCTTAATTAAGTTCAACTCATGACCGAACATACTTGGTTTCAGTTCACTACTTATCTTAAACGATTAATCAAAATATACTCAATTTCGATTATTCGTCATCTTATATTAATTAATCCCGTCTTATAAATCTATTTATAAAAATAAACAGACCGGAATTAATTAATTACTGGACTGGATCAATTACTGAATAATATTGAACCGAGAATACTTTCGACTTAAAGTCGAATTTTTAACTGAATAACTTAATAACTGGCTCGAACTAGGAACGAGCATTAATGAAAGTAATTAGTTCATACTTAGAATAATTACTTTTATTAATTACTGAATGGGATATTACACGTAGAGTGCCTTGACTAAAGTAAACATGTAGATCACTTTAAAATTTATATGTTTAGCGTCCGCGTACTTATCTTTAGAAAAGCACAGATTTTTCAAGAATAATTTAAATTTTAAAATCATTTTTCAAAACCATTTCTTCGGGCACTACTCAAAATCTCTTTTTTCATTCAAACATTCGAAATAAAAATGAAACCCTCCAAAACATTCAAAGTTTGGATTACCCAAAACATAGTTCAAAGGATACTTAATGGATAAATTTCGATTTCTATTAAAATTCTAAAAATTTTGATTTCTATTAAAATAATTTAAATAGACTATAATGTCTAAATAAATTTTCTCACTTCTTTGAACATTTATCACTTAAATGTTTATGGATACTTAACCTTACTTCAAGACTTAACTTGTACCAACTTATGCTAAAACTTATGATCTTTTCTTGATGACTTAAACACTTAGAAA